CTGAATTTCTCCTCTGTGGGACCCAAGGAGCTTACAATATATATTTGGGGGAAAATGATTTCAGCTTAAAAGCACAATAATTTACAACAGCACAGCAGTATTAAGTACAAATACAAATTAATAAATTATTTAAGAACAAATACGTGTTTTGTAAACCATTCAAAGCAAATTCAAACGATTAAAAGAAAAAAAAACAGCAATGAATCAATATGCATCATTATAAGGCCCTTATCAGTAGCCAAAAATCCTGTTAAATTAAAAAAGGGTTTTCCCTGCTGGTAAAAGAACAGCAGGAAGGGAAAAGCCTAGACTCCCTTGGAAGAGAATTCCATAGCTTGGGAGCAGCCATCAAGAACATCTTTTCTTGTCTATACCAGGGAGGGAGGTGGGGCCAAGTGAAATAACTCTTCTAGGAATCTTAAGGCCCAAATAGGCTCATCAGTAGGCAAAGGAGTTACAACTTATTCTCTAGAACAAGAAAGGTGTCAATGTATTCGCGAAGGCTTTCACAGCTGGGATCTAATGGTTGTTGTGGGTTTTTCGGGCTTCTTGGCCGTGTTCTGAAAGTGGTTCTTCCTAATGTTTCGCCAGTCTCTGTGGCCGGCATCTTCAGAGGACAGCAAACTGTGCTCAGGTGTCGTTTATCAGCACTGGCCTATCTGGTGCTGATAGAGGAGTAGAGGAAGTTTTCAGTTTCCCAATATCATTAAATAGACAAGCCAGTTAGCAATTCTAAGAAATTGAAAGCTTAAACCATCCATTTTGGTTCAATCCCAGGAAACCAAAACTAAAGGATCCTACATGTATCTAAAAAAACAGTAGCCCCTGACTGGGAGCCCCAAAAGAATGAATAGGAACACTTGGGGATGGACTGATTTGTGCTGGGACTTACATTGGTCACCAGTAAAAGAAGCAAATCAGCCCGTCCCCAAAGTAGGTGAACAAACAGTGGAACAAATCCCCATCTAGTTGCATTTTCACTAAGCTAAATCAAATGCACACATTTTATGATTGCAGGTATTGCATGTTATGGTTATCGTTCATCCTTAAATTGAACATAATATCAGGAAAAATATTAAGCATTTAAGGTCACAACCAGCTTGCCAAAGGGTCACAGACAGATAACCTGTGGCAGATAAAGTCAAAAAGAAAGAAAGATAATCACAGCTTCAAGCAGTCATGGGCTATTCTGAGTCTTTGCAAATACCATGAAGCTCTTAGATTCGCGCTGCCCCAACTGCTTTTTGTCAGTGCACCTCTGAAAATGAAATTGGCAAAGTGCTTTTTAAATTGATAATTGCAATCTGAAAATCCCCACATTTACTTATAAATAGGTCCTGCTATGTTTAATGTGGTCCCCTGAAAAATCAGCACATTTTCAGTGGTAGTTTTAGAAAGCTAGACTACAAGATCTCGTTGAGTGTTATTACAAATGGAAGTATCACTGAACTCAGTATTTTCTAGTAAATCATTTTAGGGCCATAATCATAAAATATATTTTGTTTAAAAGGGCTTACTCCAAAGCTATTGTGGACCTGCAGACCTGAAGCCAACTGTAATTTATTTCACATCGCATCGGAAGCATTTCTATGGCTAATGGGAAGCTGCACACATGAACAAAATGGCATGCACCGTTCAGCTAAATTTGAAAGCTAAATGGAACACACAGCACTCAAAGAAGGCTTTGGAATTTTCTGCCGCTCTTCAGATTCTTGGAATCAGAATGCACATGGGCTGCCACTCAATCGTAAATTTTGTTTGTCAACCATGACTGACATAATGTTCACATTATGATTATTACATTGCATCGATTGAATCCAGGGAGAGTTCTAAAGTAGTTATTAATGAGACA